AAAGGATGACTTTGATGGGAAAGGAAGATAGGCGTGAGGTATAGATAGTTAGCGGAAGTGTTTAGGGTTAAGGTGTTTGGTGCTCACAAGGTTGGCTCACTCCAAAGGTAAATGGAGGCCACTCTAGGGTTCTCACTCTCCAAGGGTGGAGATAGGAGAAGGTTAGCCAAAGTTAACCTAGTGACTAAGGAGAAGATTTGAGGCACAAAAAGGCTCACTCAAATTCATATATTCCAAAGTATTTACAAGTGGTGGGGTGTTGGGTATTTATAGGAGGGGAGGCATCTAGGGTTTCATTTGGGACATGCATGGCCGAAATTCATAAGGCAAATGCACTCCAAATGACATGCCAAATGAACCCTAGATGCTACTTGGTGACCAAGTTTGGAATCTATGGGTCTAGATTGGCTACATCAAGGTGCATGATAAGACCATGCAACCTTTGCCCTCCACTTGGGCCTAAGCCTTTCTATCACCAAAAAATGCGTCACCTCCTCATGTAACACCCTAGCCCAAAATTAAAAACCCTAATCATCTAAAGCACCCCATAATACAAGGGTAAAATAGGAAATACAAGGGAAAATAAGTTCTAAGTCCTAAACACCCCAAAATACAAGGGTAAAATTGGAAATACAAGAAAATAAATTCTATGACTAAAATACCCCAAAGTACAAGGGTAAATTTGGAATAAAGTAATAAAATTCTATACTTCTCAAATTGGTCATGAACCATGCGATGGGTTTCACATGAAGTACCAAGGATGGTCCTCCATTAAAAGAGGACTACCACCAGAATGAGACACTAAAATATCAGACGAAGCCTATGAGGAATAGTCAAGGCAAGCCACGAACCAGACAGGTTGAGACAAATGAAGCAAGTGATGTAGGAAACCGAGCATCAAGAGAAGAATAGTTGGAACACGTATATGCGTCAGTTGATCATAAAATACTCAGACAAAAATGTCTAGTACAACTATCCCAAAGCGCAAATCAGACGAGGCATATGACTAACGTCAAAAAGAAAGCCAATTATGCATCAGACAAAAGAAAGCATAGACTGAGAGACACTCCAGATGGAAACAATGTTTGTCTATTCACATTGTTAATCATACCAAAGAAAAGTCAAAAACTCAGACGCTGAAGTAAAAGTCAAAGATTGAAATACATAGGACCAACACGTGAAGATGAAGACTGGCACGCAAGAAAATAAAGAATCACGTCTCAAGGAACAAGCCAAGACATCGTCTATGACCACAGAAGTACTTTCAACGTAAAATGCATGATCTAAATGAAGAAACAAAGAAGAAGAGAAGCATGCAAAAGCAGAGCATGCATGTGTTAGAAAAAGTGCATTACTTTTTCAGAAAAGGACAACGGCTATATTGCTGCATTACTTTTTCTTACCTTTCTGTACTTATTTTAATCTCTGATTTGTGCTTAATTGTTGATATTCTGCACTATTTTCTATTTAGGCCTTAATTGGACCGGTAATTCATATTTTAACTAATTTGAATTTTCTTAATCTAATTATTCCAATTTTTATTTTCAGAGTAGTTTAATAATTATCTGGGCTTGGAATTAATTTCTGGACTTCAAGAGGAGCTGCCACGTCATCTTCCACGTCAGCACCACATCAGTGCCACATCAACATTTTGTTTTATTTTATTTTTCATTTATTTTATGTATTTTCGGGTCAAACCTGACTTGGGGGCCCATGTTGACTCTTCTAGGTGTTTTTTAGGGTCCTAGGGCAGCCACCAACCTTCAGACTTGATGTGACCACGTTACCTTGCTGCCTTCTCTTTGTGTTTTACGTTTTTCTCTCTTGTAGCTGAGTTTTACATTTTGCTCTCCTTTCCTCTTATCTAAGTTTACATTTTCTATCTGAACCCCTTGCATTGAAGAATATTATTTTCCATTTACGTTTTGCTCTCCTCTCCTTGCATTTTTGTTTCTGTATCTGCTTCTATTTTAATGGAAGGCTAAAATCCCTGGGGTTGGCTTCTTGTTATGGATTGTAATCTCTGTTTGAGGTTGGGTATGTTTGTATATCTCTGTTCTACTTTGTTCTTCTTCATTTAACCTTTGTATCAATGTGTCCATGCTTAATGGATTCTTAGTTGGTTAACTCGGATGGAACAAGGATTAAGTGGTTGACAGAGTAATCTCATTGTGAACCAAGGATAAGAGAGTTACAATCCGAACAAGGAGCCAATCTATTTTACTTGCTGTGTTATCTGCGTTTTTATTGTGTTATAAACTGAAAAAAAAAAAAACATGAACCAAACCCCCCCCCCACTTCGTGCTTAAGCCTTTGACAGAGAAAAATGGTCCTTGGGAGACGACCTAGGACAACTTCCTAGTACTGCATTTAATTGTTTTTATTTGACCGGATACGGCTTCGATCAATTTTGGCGTTGTTGTCGGGGACCATCAATTCCTGTCAAAGGGTGTGTGTTCTTTGTTTTTGTTGTTTAACGTGTTCTATTGTGTGTTATGTGTGTTTTTGGTGTAGTGTTTTAGTGTATCAGTATATCAGTTTTAGTGTATCAGTTTTTGCTTCAATTTTGTATGAATTTTGTGTATCAGTTTGGTGCTTGCGTTTTTGTGTCTCATTACATGTTATGTTGTGTATTTGTGTTTGTTATTAGTCTCCCCAGGTGTATCAAGTAAGCCATTTGAAGAATTCGTGCTATTCATGCAACTAAGAGAAGCAATGGAATAGTAATCCAATGAAATAGTAAATTTGAATTCTGAGTTGTATATTGTATGGTATACTCTATTTTCAATTCATGCATACTCTATTTCAATTAGGCGTGCTCTGTTTTCTCTCCCTACTACTCCTCTATTCGGGTTCTAAAATTGTAGGAAATGGTGTGAAAATGTTGCAAATCTGGTGCATTTCATGTGCGCGTGAATAGTTCTGAATAGTAGCTGAATTTTCCAATTAATTGTGATTTTTGGTTTTGATAGCTAGACTTGTTATTTTTGCCTCAAATTTTTTGTGGTAACTTCTTTCAATCAATATTTTGTGTAAAAAATAGCTACGGCACATAGTTTGGTCAAGATTTGGAGATACCAAAATTTTTGAAAATTGTGGGGCGCAAAACTTCAAAGGGCCATAACTTTGGCTCTGGTTATCGGAATTAGGCAAACTTTTTTTTCATTGTGTAGAAAAAAAAAGATCTATCAAACCCCCACGATAAATCGTGTGGCCCCAGCTAGATTTTCAAAAAAAGGCTGTTTACTATTTTTTTTCTAATTTTGAAGTTTTATTTCCTTATTTTTCCAAACTTTTCTTAGGTAGTTCATATAGCTAGGCTTTGAATTTTGCTCTCAAAATTTTTGTGGTAGTTTCTAATGATTTTAGGGTGATGTTGGTGCATTAGTTTTGATATTTTTTTGAGTTTTCATGGAAATTCCCATTTTACCCCTACTGTTCACGTGTCCTGATGCATGTGTTGCATGTAGTGCATGACTAGGAGCAACCCTGATTTTTTGCACCCATTTGATCCTGAGAATGATAAGACATTCCATAGACTAATTAGAGAGCATATCATTCCATCTTTAGATAGTGATAGTGTTAGTCATAGTCATAGTGATAGCCATAGTGATAGTCTTAGTGTAACTGTTGCATCTGAGCTTGATTCAAGTCAACTAGAAAACATGGATGAACAACCTTATAATGGACCTCGTGAGAGGACTCTTAGGGATTGATGCTGCCAGTGGAGGAGCCCTTGGTGACATGACTCCGACTGAGGCTAGGCACTTAATTGAAAAAATGGCCTCCAATTCTCAGCAATTCAGTGCCAGGAATGATGCTATTGCGCTCAGGGGAATTAATGATGTAGTTGCTGATTCTTCTTCATATGAAGATAGGAAACTTGAGGGGAACCTTAATACCTTGGTCAATTTAATCACTCAACTTGCCATCAACCAGAAATCTTCATCTTCATCTACATCTTTGGCAAGGGTTTACAGCATTTGCACATCAAATGACCATCATACATATTTGTGTCCATCATTGCAGCAGCCTTCTGATGTTCATGCTCCTCAAGCCTATGCTGCAAATATCTACAATAACAGACCAGTGCAGTGACCACAACAAAATTATGATCTGTCCTCCAATAGATACAATCCTGGTTAGAGGAATCAACCCAACTTAAGGTGGGGAAACTCACAGCAGCAGCAAAATCAAGCCCCTTTCCAGAACCACCCCTCAAGTTCTTCATACCAGCCCCCTCAATAGAGACCTCCTCCTCTTGCACCTACAGCCCAACCAGCTTAACTTTCTACTTTCTCTGAGCCTTCATTGGAGGAGTTGGTGAGGCAGATGACCATTCAGAACATGCAATTTCAGCAAGAGACCAGAGCTTCCATTCAGAGCCCGACCAATCAGATGAGGCAGATGGCCACTCAACTCAATCAGGCATAGTCTCAAAATTCAGATAAGTTTCCTTTACAGGCTGTGCAGAATCTAAAAAACGTGAGTGTCATCACATTGAGGTTTGGGAAACAGATTGACATACCCACTGCAGTACCTCCACCTCCATCATCATCTGCACCTGTACCAGTACCAGTTACATCATCTGCACCTGAGAAAAATGATGAACCAGTTGGTGCCCGAAATTTTCATGCAAGTGGACCTTCTTCCAGCACCAATTCTGATTTGCAACAGCCTCCTATCCCTCTTCCATTTCCTCCTAAATTGATTCCAAGAAAAAAATGGAAGAGGTGGATAAGGAGATATTGGAGACTTTCAGGAAAGTAGAGGTGAACATACCTCTGCTTGATTCCATAAAGAAAATCCCGAGATATGCAAAATTTTTGAAGGATCTGTGCACTCATAAGAGGAAAATGAAAGGCAATGAGCGAATCAGCATGGGCAGAAATGTCTCAGCACTCATAGGTAAATATGTTCCGCACATTCCTGAAAAATGTAAGGACCCAGGTACATTCTGTATACCTTGCATTATTGGGAATAGAAAATTTGAAAATGCCATGCATGATTTGGGTGCTTCTATAAATGTTATGCCTCTGTCCATTTTTAAATATCTGTCTCTTGGTCCTATGCAACCTATGGGTGTGGTGATACAGTTGGCAAATAAAAGTGTCGCCCACCCTACAGGTTTCATTGAGGATGTCTTAGTTCGGGTCAGTGAACTGATTTTTCCTACCGATTTTTATGTGCTTGATATGGAGGAGGGATTCTCCCATGGATCTGCCCCAATCATTTTAGGCAGACCATTTTTGAAAACAGCCCGAACTAAGATTGATGTGTATGCTGGTACATTGTCCATGGAATTTGGTGATAGTATTGTCCATTTTAATATTCTTGATGCCATGAGACATCCATCTGAAGACCATTTTGTTTTTCGTGCTGAGATACTTGATGATGTTGTTGATGAGTATGCTTTTGATTTTTATTCTTTGCATGATAAGAAACATTGTTTTCTATCTGATCTATATAATTCTCTTGCATGCATTGAATCTGATTATGTTTCTGAATCTGTTTCTGAGTTTGATTTTGAATATATTTTTGTATCCAATTTTGATTCCTGTTCCAAGAATAAATCTGATTTTGTATCTGATGTTTTGGGTGTTGTACCTCTGGATATTATTTCTTTATAGTCAGAATGCACTAACCATGTTTCAGGAAGTACACATGAATCTGACTTGCAGGCTAAGGTACATGTTGTGGAACCCTTAGTTCCTCCTACTGTTCAGCCAGCACCCATTCCAGAATTAAAGCCTCTACCAGAAAACCTCAAGTATGCTTACTTGGAGGATGATGAGAAGTTTCCAGTGATCATTTCCACCTCCCTTGATGTTGTCCAAGAGGAGAAATTGTTGCACGTTCTGAAAAAGCATAAGAAAGCCATCGGTTGGACCCTAGCGGACATTCCTGGTATCAGCCCATCCACTTGCATGCATAGGATACTCTTAGAGGATGAAGCTAAACCAGTTAGACATCCCCAGAGGCGACTCAATCCTGTCATTTTGGATGTAGTGAAGAATGAGGTGACCAAGCTTCTTCAAGCTGGGATCATTTATCCTATGTCAGATAGTCAGTGGGTGAGTCCAGTCCAGGTGGTCCCCAAGAAGACAGGCCTCACTGTTGTGAAAAATGAGAGGGATGAGCTCATTCCCACTAGAGTGCAAAACAATTGGAGGGTCTGCATCGACTACCGAAGGCTGAATCAAGCAACCAGGAAAGATCATTTTTCGCTGCCTTTCATTGACTAGATGCTTGAGCGTCTGGCAGGTAAATCTCACTACTACTTTCTTGATGGTTTTTCTGGTTATTTTCAAATCCATATTGCTCTTGAGGATCAAGACAAAACCACATTCACCTACCCTTTTAGCACTTTTGCCTATAGGAGGATGCCCTTTGGCCTATACAATGCCCCTGGTACCTTCCAGCGGTGCATGCTTAGTATCTTTTCTGATTTTCTTGAAAATTGCATAGAGGTGTTTATGGATGATTTCACTGTATATGGATCCATCTTTTTACACATGCTTAGATAATTTGGATAGAGTGCTTAGTAGATGCATTGAAACTAATCTTCTTCTGAATTTTGAAAAATATCACTTCATGGTAGAACAGGGTATAGTTTTAGGGCATATTATTTCTAGTAAGGGCATAGAAGTAGATCCTGCAAAAGTATCTGTTATTTCACAGTTGCCTTACCCTTCTTGCGTGCGAGAGGTTCGATCTTTTCTTGGCCATGCAGGTTTCTACAGGCACTTTGTCAATGAATTCAGCAAGAAGGCCCTTCTGCTATCCAATCTACTACAGAAAGAGGTTGATTTTGTTTTTGATGACAGGTGTTAACAGGCTTTTGACTGCCTCAAGGAAGCACTGACCACCACTCCAATCATTCAGGCACCTGATTGGGCAGTCCCATTCGAGCTGATGTGTGATGCATCCAATTATGCATTGGGAGTTATCCTGGCACAAAGAGTTGACAAGTTGCCTCGAGTGATATATTATGCTTCTAGGACTTTAGACACTGCCCAAGCAAACTACACTACCACATAGAAAGAGCTTCTTGCCATTATTTTTGCTCTTGATAAATTTAGATCTTATTTGCTTGGTTCTCGTGTTATTGTCTATACTAACCATGCAGCTCTGAAGTACATGCTGAAAAAGGCTAAGTCAAAGCCCAGATTGATCAGGTGGATGCTTTGGCTCCAGGAGTTTGATTTGGATATCCGGGACAGCAGTGGAGCTCAAAATTTAGTGGCAGATCATCTCAGCAGAATTGAAAGAGCTGAGCACAGTGTCGGCGTCATGCCCATCCAGGATAATTTTCCTGATGAAAATTTGTTGATTGTTTCTTCTATTTCTGTTTCTTCTACCACCCCTTGGTTTGCAAACATTGTTAATTTTTTAGTTGCTTCTGTTTTTCCTCCCTTAGCATCACGAGCTCAAATTGATAAAATTAAGAGTGATGTTAAGCATTATATTTGGGATGACCCCTATTTGTGGAAGTTGTGTAGTGACCAGGTGATCAGAAGATGCATACCAGATCATGAGATCGATTTGGTCCTGCAGTTTTGTTACTCTTCCACACCAGGTGGCCATCTAGGTATTCAGAGGAAAGCTCGCAAGGTGCTCGATTATGGTTTCTACTGGCCCACCATCTTCAGAGATGCGTGGAAGATTTGTAGCACTTGGGAGAAGTGTCAGCGAGTAGGAGGATCCCTTACATGGAGACAACAGATTCCTTAGCAGCCCATGCTATTTTGTGAGGTGTTTGATGTTTGGGGTATTGATTTCATGGGTCCCTTTCCTGTTTCTTTTGGTTTTTCCTACATTCTTTTAGCTGTTGATTATGTTTCAAAATGGGTGGAAGCCAAACCCACCAAAACTAATGATGCTCGGGTTGTTGTGGATTTTGTTAGATCTCACATATTCTGCAGGTTTGGAGTACCCAAAGCTATTGTTAGTGATCAAGGCACCCATTTTTGTAACATATCTATGCAGGCTTTGCTCAAGAAGTATGAGGTAGTGCACAGAATTTCTACACCCTACCACCCCCAAACCAATGGGCAAGCTGAAATTTCAAACAAGGAGATCAAGAGAATCTTAGAGAAGATTGTCCAACCCAACAGAAAAGATTGGAGTAACAGATTGGATGATGCTCTTTGGTCGCATAGGACTGCCTACAAAGCACCCATAGTGATGTTTCCTTATCGGGTTTTCTTTGGCAAGGCATGTCATTTACCTGTTGAGATTGAGCATCGGGCCTACTGAGTCGTGATGACCTGCAACTTCTCCATTGATCAGGCTGGTGAGGAAAGGAGGTTGCAACTAAATGAGCTTGATGAGATCCGCTTGGAAGCCTACGAGAATTCAAAATTCTACAAGGAGAAAACCAAGAAGTTCCATGACAGCTTGATAGCTAGGAAGGACTTCGTGGTTGGCCAGAAAGTTCTGTTGTACAATTCTCGGCTCGGTCTCATGGGTGGTAAGTTACGTTCTAAGTGGATTGGACCTTTTGTTGTTACAAATGTTTTTCCTTATGGTACATTTGAGATCAAAAGTGAATCCACAAACAAAAGCTTCAAAGTTAATGGGCACCGTTTGAAGCCTTTCCTCAGCAATCCTTCCCTGATGAATGCAGTTGAAGAGGAGATGTCTCTACTCGACCCCGCTACTCTCCCACCATGACTTAGGGAGTTTTCTTTCCCTCTCTCCTTCTTTACTTTTATTGCACATTTCCAATTCTGTTGATTGTTCTGATTGCTTTGATCTTATGTGTGAGCCACATTGGGACAATGTGTGATTTAAGTGTGGGGGGAACTGTTTTGGTTATATGCTTTTAGGGTTTATTTGTTATTTTTGGTCTAGGTTTTATGTTTAGGTGTTATGTACAGTTTTGCATGTTTCTCTTTGATTTCTGGGTTGTGATAGTTTGTAGGCACTTGCTTCACTCTTGGATAGGAGTTTCTTGATACTGTATGGTTTGAAATCCCTGATTTTCTCTGCTTGGAAAGATGATTTTGAGGTTTGAGAGGTTGTTTTAATTATGACAGATATACCCTGTGTGAGGATTTGAGCCACTCTCTGTTCTTTCTTGTGTGTTATGCCTTTTGATTTCTTGCACAGTTGCCTTGTCTTGACTCTGTTTGATACTTCTTGATTCACATGCATGTTTGGATATGATTAAGGTATTTTGATTCTCATAAGCCTCTAGCCAAATAAGCCTACCTTGAATTAACTCCTCTGATATCCCCTGTTGAGCCTATTTCCCCTTCTTTGTTTGAAGCTCATTACAAGCCTTAAGCGAAAAACCATGATTACCTTAACCTTAGGGAGTTTTGGAGCTTTGGAATTGTTTTGGGAATAAGTTCTTGAATAAGTGTGGGGGTGTGTGTATGTTTCATTGGATGATGTATATTGGCTAGTTGATTCCTTATGTTGTACATTTGACTCCTCTGCATGTTATCTTATCTCATTTCAAATTTTTGTTTGTACTGTTCACTACGTACTTTTCATTCAAAAAAAAACAAAAAAACAAAACAAAAAAAAACAAAAAAAAACAAAAAAAAATAAAAATAAAATGAAAAAGAGTTGTTTGAGGCAAGAGAAAAAGGATTGATTATCATAGAGGTCATTAGAGGTTTCTGGGTTTGTTTCTTGTGCGTATTCTTGACTTATTCCCCATTGCTCCTCTGGTTCCTCTGGTTTGTAGTTACTTATCCCATATATTATCCTCTACCCTGTCCTTGGCCTCATTACAACCCTGAAAAGACCTTTTGATCCTTACGTGTTTGTGTGTTGGGTGTTGATTTTAGAGGCTTGCCAAGTCTATCTGTTGCTTGTTTTTCATGAGTGCTTTGAGAGTATACAATTGCCTAGACACTTGAGAGATACAGTGATACAGTGCATCTTGTGAGGTTCTATTGCTTTTGATTCACCTCTTGAGCTGATTGATTGTCTTGCGATGTTTTGAAATGCTTGGATGATTTCCATAAGTATCTGGTTTCTCTGACTCTTTGTGTGTTGGATGTTATCTACTCCTTTTCTTTTCCCAGGATTCATTGAGGATTATGTAAATCTGTTTGTTTTCTTATGCGTATTCTTGTTTCTGTTTCTTCCTGTTGTGTCACTCTCTTTGATGTCTCTAGAATTGTTCCTTGCTCTGTTTTTTGATTTTGCCCAGGAGTGCAAAAGGCTAAGTATGGGGGAATTTGATGAGTCATTATTTTCCCTTATTTTTTTTCCTTTCTGTACTTATTTTAATCTCTCATTTGTGCTTAATTGTTGATATTCTGCATTGTTTTCTATTTGGGCCTTAATTGGACCGGTAATTCATATTTTAACTAATTTGAATTTTCTTAATCTAATTATTCCAATTGTTATTTTCAGGGACGTTTAATAATTATCTGGGCTTGGAATTAATTTCTGGACTTCAAGAGGAGTTGCCACGTCATCTACCACGTCACCACCACATCAGTGCCACATCAATATTTTGTTTTATTTTATTTTTCATTTATTTTATGTATTTTCGGGTCAAACCTGACTTGGGAGCCCGTGTTGACTCTTCTAGGTTTTTTTTAGGGTCCTAGGGTAGCCACCAACCTTCAAACTTGATGTGACCACGTTACCTTGTTGCCTTCTCTTTATTTTTTACATTTTTCTCTCTTGTAGCTGAGTTTTACATTTTGCTCTCCTTTCCTCTTATCTAAGTTTACATTCTGTATCTGAACCCCTTGCATTGAAGAATATATATTTTCCATTTACGTTTTGCTCTCCTCTCCTTGCATTTTTGTTTCTGTATCTGCTTCTGTTTTAATGGAAGGCTAAAATCCCTGGGGTTGCCTTCTTGTTATGGATTGTAATCTCTGTTTGAGATTGGGTATGTTTGTATATCTTTGTTCTGCTTTGTTCTTCTTCATTTAACCTCTATATCAATGTGTCCATGCTTAATGGGTTGTCCTCAATGCCACAGTTGCTTAATCTGTGAAGAGGTTGATATTGTATACGTTTGCTTAATTCGTGTAGGGAAATCTTGAGTTAATCTTCGCTTAGTTGGTTAACTCGCATGGAACAAGGATTAAGTGGTTAACAGAGTAATCTCATTGTGAACCAAGGATAAGAGAGTTACAATCCGAACAAGGAGCCAATCTATTTTACTTGTTGTGTTATCTGCGTTTTTATTGTGTTATAAACTGGAAAAAAAAAATATGAACCAACCCCCCCCCCACTTCGTGTTTAAGCCTTTGACAGAGAAAAATGGTCCTTGGGAGACGACCTAGGACAACTTCCTAGTACTGCATTTAATTGTTTTTATTTGACCGGATACAGCTTCGATCACTAACGTCAAAAAGAAAGCCAATTATGCATTAGATGAAAGAAAGCACAGACTGAGAGACACTCCAGATGGAAACAATGTTTGTCCATTCACATTGTTAATCATACCAAAGAAAAGTCAAACACTCAGACGTTGAAGTAAAAGTCAAAGATTGAAATACACAGGACCAACAGATGAAGATGAAGACTGGCACGCAAGCAAATAAAGAATTACGTCTCAACGAACAAGCCAAGACATCGTCTATGACCACACAAGAACTTTCAACGTAAAACGCGTGATCTAAATGAAGAAATAAAGAAGAAGAGAAGCATGCAAAAGCCGAGCATGCATGTGTCAGAAAAAGTGCATTACTTTTTCAGAAAAGGACAACGGCTATGTTGCTGCATGACTAGAAAAAGACAAACAATCTCTTGGTCTCAGATAAAGTCAAACACTACTGCAACAGGACAAAGAAGAATATACGCAATGTCTAAGAACAGGAAGCAACATTTAATGGAAGGCTAAATGCATTAAATTAAAGGATCAAATTAGTCATGAACGACTATATTTGCTTCAACGAGAAGTTACAACGGGCAGATTCTACAAGAATATATATATCACTACCTCAAACCTTAAAATGTTGGCTTTTCGATTGGAAGAAAAAGAGTGATATCAAGCCCACTAGACAGAGACCAGAGATGAGCATATATAGTCATATGTACAATGTAATATTTTATCTTTATCTCTATAGACTAAGGTGTTCGAAATGTCAGTGATGGACTAAACCTTAGTGAGTGTTGTAAACCTATGTATCCTCTCCATGATAGTAACCCAAACACTCAAATACAAGTCTCTGTAAAACTAAGGTAGCAAAGCTTAGTGAGTGTATGAAATTCCCAATCCTCTCTGTGAGAGTTATTAATGCACTCAAACCAAAACTGTATAGCCAACATTGTAAAGTTTAAAGAGGCTAGGAAAAAAATACTTGTAAAGCCCGGAGGATCTTGTCAAAGAATACTCACTACTAGCCAGAAGTGGCTGAGAAGAATATACTAGCGTTGGTGAGTGAAGCCAACGGGCCAGGAGTGGTCGAGAATACTTGGAGAACCAAAAGTGGTTTAAGAATACTAGTGCTGGTGAGTGAAGTTGGCAAGCCAGGAGTGGTCGAGAATACTTGGAGAACCAGAAGTGGTTTAAGAATACTAGCGCTGGTGAGTGAAGCGAACGGGCCAGGAGAGGTCGAGAATACTTAGGGGCAAGAGTGGTAGAGAATACTGAGGGCCAGGAGTGGTCGAGAATACTCAGGTCCAGGAGTGGACGATAATACTCAATGCTCTTCATTTCATATCTAGTGGAACCCTTCAAGTTGAAGGAGATTGGACGTAGCTCAGTTGAGCGAACTAGTATAAAATGATTAGATTGTTTTATTTATATTTCAGACGCAAATCCTTCTTAATTGATAAATCATATTAAAATCTTTGTCTACTAACTGTTCCTCATTAAAACCATTTTTCAGACGAAGACGCAAATTTTGTTTAACAAACATATCATATTGAAGAGTTTTATTTACTTCTTATCCTTAAATGAAACTATCTTCAAAATGGAAAATGCAAGAACTTTAATTATCATTATAAACCATTTTCCTAGTAGATGGTAACATCTTTTAGACGCAATGAGCTTGTGTTAAGCAAATTCTGTATAACCATCTGACATCTAAAAGTACATTGGACGAAGAACATCACTATTGCAAAGATGATTTTAAAACTACCCTTGTTCACCCCCCTTCTATGTGTTTTTTTGCTAACTACAATAGGGTGTACCTTAGGGTCACTAGTGATGTAACAAGCTAACAAGGTGTACCTTAAGGTCACCAATGATATATCAAGCTAACAAGGTGTACCTTAGGGTCACTAGTGATGTAACAAGCTATGTGATGAAATGACTTATTTCAGGTGTT